TTTTAATCTATTCAGTGATAGGTATTTCGCCATAAATATCTGTTGATATTATATTTATGGAAGTATTATTAAATAAAAATCATATTTACCTAAATATGGATCAACAATCCGGAGATACAGTACACCATCAATGCTTAGAGTAACATTGTCTGAAGTAATAGCACTTTGTTTAGGAACATCTATGGCTATCTCTTTTAAGCTTTGAACATATTTAATTTTATCGACAATCGGCCAAAGTAAATTCAGTCCAGGTTCAAGTAATCTGTGAAATTTTCCCATACGTTCAACAATCCATGCCTAAAAATGCATACAAATAAACAAATTTTTTATGCAAGCAATGTAATGTTATAACAATATATTCTGTCATAATGTTTTAGATTAATTTCTGTAATTAATAATGAACACAAAACTCCAAGAAAATGTTTTATCCCTATAAGGTATTGATAGTACATATTTATACTCTATAACTTGAATTCCAAAAAAGCAGACTCTGTTCCTCAAAGTTAGTAAAAAATTATGACATCTTATTTGGAATTCCCCGAATTTAGCAATGAAATCCAAAAGGATATTTTGTTGCTCCTGTTCTATTGAGTGTACTTTTTACATGTGCAATGGGTGACACATTCACACACACACATTCATTAAATTTTCTAAGTAACACTGTGTACCTTATGTTTGTGTATTATTGGGAAAAAATCTCGAAATAAAAAAAAAATATATTTTTTATCATAATTTGTCCACCACTTAAAAAGTTACATTGGATCACATTCTCTTGGTGTGCATAGTTTAATGTGTGAAGAGGGTTGAGGGCAGCCGTCCACCTTTCCCTTAAGAAGGGTTTGATGGACAAAATTGAGTTTTGATTATACTTTTTTAAATGGTGTGGAGTAGGGCAGCTTTCAACAATGTATACTGGTGAGGTTTAATACACCTAAAAATATACATTTTTAATCTACAACTAAGGAATACAATAACTCTAGCAATGTGCTTAACTTTTGATAAATTGCAAGCACTTTGCTAGTTGCAGAAGGCAGATCACCAAAGAGGTCCAAGAGGTCAAAGTTGCTAAGACAAGCACAACTTGCCGAGAGACACACCTCTTACTTAAATACTCAAGGAGGTCAAATGCATAACATGGTGTGACATAGTATTAGAGTTAACAAATTCTATTTTGTATAAGTTTTTGAACCTAATGTATACTCTATTTACAATTAGAAGATTAAAATCCACACCAGTTTTGGAATTCATCTTCAAACATTTCATGTAAATCTAGAATAAAGATTAAAAGGATTTCCTAAATACTGAAAAGCAATATTGATGTAATTTGATACTTAATGAAAGCAATTCTTGTTTATTAAAATATATTTGATGATAAGTAAGTGAATTAGCTATTTTAAAAATATTTGGGAAGGAAAATAATAAAACATCTTTACATTTACAGACTGTTTATAGCAATTTTAAAAGTCGTAAATTTCAATAAATAAAAATAATTTCAAGATTAATATATATATATATATTTCGATATACTCGAAAATTATGTATTTCTGCAATATAATTTTTTGGGGTTAGTCTAACAAAGTTTAGGCCTCAAAAAAGTTTTAACTTTCAAATCGGTTCTAGATTTTGTACCGTTGAACCTTTTTTCGATTTATTTGAATACGAATTCATATAAAATATCATTAAACTAACCTCTTGTTGTGGAACAAACATTATTATGGTATTTAGAGGAGTTGTAGATCGATATCTTGTAGTGATGCTATAGAGAAATCGTGCTTCATTTTTATGTTCCGGCTTAGGAAAATTCTGAAATCAATGTAACATTAAAAATTTAAATTCTTGAGAAATATTGTTAGCAAAGCATTAACATGACAGTACGTACTTTTGGAGATAGAGTTTTAGAAAACAAGAATCTTGAACGAGTAAACATATCTTTGCTAATAATAAACAAATGCTGTTTACTGCTTTGCTTTTTAAATATTGAGATACACTAATTTTCAACTTTCCATTTATTTTACAACAAATAAAAAGTCCCTATGTCGGTGGTATGTCGTAAGTACAGAATACATTTACCCTCTCTAGTACATAGTCAGTAATCTATGAATCAATGGGTGCGTTTGGCAGAAAAAAGCGCTAGCAAGCGCGTGTAAGCAAAATGGCGATCGTAAGCGGTAAACGCTGTCAAATCGTAAGTAGCTATTTTCGTCCAGGACACGATGTTAGTTTTAACCGAGGAACCTAACCTAATTTAAATATATGTTTGTAAAGTATTCACATTAAAAACTTACCAATCATGAATTTTTAATTACATGTATATGTTTATTCACGTTATTATATTACTTAAAACTAATATTGCACAAAACAACTTATAAACTCTATTTCAAAACAAACAAATTAAATAAGCAAAATGGCGGATTGTGCTTATTTAATTTTGTTTGTTTTGAAGTAGAGTTTATAAGTTGTTTTGTGCAATATTAGTTTTAAGTAATATAATGACATGAATAAACATATACATGTTATTAAAAATTCATGATTGGTAAGTTTCTAATATGAATACTTTACAAACATATATTTAAATTAGGTTAGGTTTCCCGGTTAAAACTAACATGTGTCGTGTCCTGGAGGAAAATAGCTACTTACGATTTGACAGCGCTTACCGCTTACTATCGCCATTTTGCTTACAAGCGCTTGCTAGCGCTTTTTTCTGCCAAACGCACCCTATGATTTACCCAGACGGTCGTAAGATAAGAGTTGACAGTTGACAGTGACACGAGGCAGGGCTGCCAGATAGAAAAAATACGTAGTCGTACGCCAACTATAAAAAGTCGTATGTCAGGGAGATTTTGAAACGAAAAGATCGTACAATCTAAAAGTCATGAAGGTTAGAGAACAGGAGAACGATCACTACGTACTAAAGCATAGCCCGCCTGTCCTTGAAAATTGTAGATTGTATAGCGGCGCTGACGTCGGTGAGTAGTGACTGCGAAGTTAGCTGTTTATGATTACAAGTAGATGAAGTTAGTTGAATAATGTACAAATTTTCATTTTATTTTTATTGAGAAAATTTTCATGCTCCGTAATTTTGTAATTTTTGGCAATAAGAAACATTAAAAAATGGAGAAATATTTTATTGTGCGTGGATGTGCAAGAGGTTTAGCATCTGATCGGAAAAATAGACTGAAAATGACTTTTATTGACAGAACTTTGCGATCGCAGTGCCTCACTGATGGTGTCCATATTTCTGGAACACTATTTTCTACGGTGATCGTTCTCCTGTTCTCTAACCTTCATGCTAAAAGTAAACAGCTTTTACTCAATCAAAGAAAAATTTGTTAGGCAAATTTTGGCAATTTTTTTTATTAAAACTACTAAATACAGTTATGCGAAATTGCTGAGGTCATCATTTTCAAAATTATTTCTTCTCTCAGCTTAAACTTCCTACAATTTTCGTTTCTTCTTATCAGTAAGTCACTAAGTCATAGTTAATAATATCCCATTGAGTGTTTCATTGGATAAACTGTTTATAAGTTTTATTTTAATTAAATTAACTTCGCTAAATGCTCGTTCACAATTGGCACTAGAATGGGGCAAACAACAAATTCAAAGCAAATTGAGCTAGTGTTTTATAATTTTTAAATAGTTTTTGACGACGCCCCAATATTCGTCTGTATTTAAAGTTGTCAATTTTATCTAACATGTGAAAACTGCGCCATTCGTTATCTATTGCCTGCATTGTGTGAATGTCGTCGGGTTTTACTATTTTTGGAACAACTATCATGAGTGGTTGTAAGGTAGGAACTTTGTTTCTATAATTTCTGGAAGCAACATTGGTAGGTTCAATATGATCAATTTTTGAGAGAATAGGATCATCTAGGTCATATTTTTTTTTATTTCTTTAGCGCTTGTACTTAGAAAATGGTGACAGCAATGAAAACACTCCTTGGTGGCAGGTTTCTGACGACGCTATTCAGGCTGTGTAATTTAATTCATCATTTGCATTCTCAAATACATACATTTAATTCTCTTGTAACCATTTCTCTTAACGTTCAACATCAATAGCAGAAAGCTCAGCTTTGTTGACATAATCACGATCCGAAAAACATAGGAAACTATCTTTATACATTTCGCGCACCTTTTCGCTGAAAGATGTGGTCACTAATTTTTCCGATTGAAAAAGTTTTTTGAAGGTGGTAAATTTGAGCAAAATCCAAGACAGGAACATGTAATAAAGCTGTAAGAATGGATCACTTCAGCTATTAAATATCAGTTCTGTTGAAACAAGACGTGCTTTCAACCAACTATCAGTGAAATACAATTTTATTACATCCTATTCTAATTTTCGATCAACTATCGCTGCCAATGACAACCAACGTGTTTGTGATGGATGGAATATCTTATAAGGCGAAGAACTCACAAATTCTTGAAACTGTTGGAGGGGGAATTGTCTTTTGGAACTGTTTAAAAAACTATATATATATATATATATATATATATATATATATATATATATATATATATATATATATATATATATCTCGCTAAATCTTCGCAGCACCTTGGTAATTGTTTGCACGATTCAGATGCGCAAAAGTGTGCCGAGTGGCAAACACATTTCATAACAAATATTCCTGGCTAATTTTATTTGCCTTACCATATTTTTCCAGTAGCACCTTCTGCAGCTGTTTTTTTATCATCAGAGCTGAATATTTTCACATAGCACAGAATTTTTCAATTTTCAGTCTTTCGACCAGAGATGATTTTTCATTTTCGCCAATGACTTCGGTGATTACAGCTGTAGCTTTCGTTCTTTTCATAAAACTTTTATGCTCCCCTCCGAAATCTTCCAATATACTATTTATGAAATCTGAGATATGACCTGCTGTTTCAAACGCAATATTGTGCTCAGCTAGAAAACCCGGCAACTTGCTTTCAGTCACTAAAATTATTTTATTTTTCGGCACTGCTCCTTTTGCAACAAATACAGACATGGTATTACGCTGTTTTTATTTGCTTAGTATTGCAGATATGGCTTTTACATGCTTTTTCCTAGAAGCGCGTATTTTTAAAACTCCATGTTCTGAAACCAGGTCGACGTCACAAACCGTGCACTTCGCTTTGAATTGGTTTTTACCACGCCATAACCAGTCTTTAAGCATATCTAATTTTTCCCAAACAAGACGATACTTCTGTGCCCTGTGTTTGTCCTTCTCTGATGAAGAAAACTCTCCTCTTTGAGCTCTATCTTTTTTTGAAGTACCTGGCGTAGGTCGCTCTCCTTCACTTTCATGACTCATTCTTGCTTAAATTAACCAAAGATAACTTATACTTGTTGATGAAAGACTTCCGTTCAAAGATATTTTATTTTAACAAGATTGCGCACCACTGACCTCTATATATACAAGTACGCTGGACTGTCTACAACATACAAAATGTCTGTGCCAATTTGAAGCATCCCTAACCGTCGTCTTGGAAACTAAAATTCACATAATATGCCAAAGTCTGTTGTCTTATTTAAATTGTTTTATTTAAAAAAGTCTGTATTTTGAACTTTTAAACTAAAAAACGAAAGTATTTTATGTTGTTTGAATTTTATGTTGTTTGATTGTGTATAATATTAGTTACATAATAACAATAATTTTTAATAATAATCAGAGTGTGCGTAATCCGTAAAACTCGTAACCAAAAGGGAAGTGGTATAACATTTAACAAGTAAATATTATACAAATTAAAATTATTTAATAATATAAGTACTTAAAAACGTGTTACTAATCTTAATATCATATATACCAACATGTTTGACTGTATATTACTGAGTTTTGATAAACAATAAAATTCAATAGGGTTGTCGAGTTTCTTGTCTATAATACTTATCGATGTTCTTTCTTACCCATATCTGTTAACAAACAAAGTCGTCAACAACAGATGATTATCAAATGTTTATTAACAGGTTTCCAACTGAACCTAGACTAAAATTATGGCTTAAAAGCATAAATATTGTTAATTGGCGTCCGAAACAAAACGATAGTATTTGTTCTGAACATTTCACAGACGACTGTTTTCTTAGACATGAGAACTGCACCACTTTGAAAAAGTGCAGTATTTCGACAATATTTTCTGGTAGTACCAGTATCAATAAGTATAAAAGTATTAGATTATTATTTCGAATGTTTTTTTTTTTTATTTCTTCTTTCTTCATTTTCCCCCAAACTCAAGGGCCATAGCCAAGTGTCGAAAGGTCGCCTGATGATGTCGAGCCACGTTGGATGTGTGTTAGTGTCGTTCCTCCTGTCCGCCCCGCAGCTGCTCTTCCAAACGACGGACCTGTTCCTCCTGTCGGCGAGCCTGCTCCTGCAGCATCACCATCAGAGCACCTAAGTCAGATGCTGCAGATGTAGGAGCTACTGACGGGCCTGTAGCCGGCGGCTGGCCCTCCGACGTCTGCGGCGTTGCACCACCAAATCTTCTTTGGTCCGTCTCCTGCTGGCGTTGACTTCGGGTACGGACACCCTCCGTTTCCTCCTTAGGTAAAATCGGCATGATTTTATCCCACTTCTGACACCAATTGTTATGAGTTTGAGGTTCTTGACAATAAAAATTGCCGATAAAATTACCTAAATTAACACTTTAATTTACTTTACACTAATTAAAGTTAAAAATACTAATAATTAATCACACTGATTCACTTTATTCCGCTCCGAAGCTTCGCTTGTCTCGCCAACTTCAATACTTCCTCGATCGCATCTTGCAGCGCCTATTTATATAAATTAGCACGGAAATATCCAGAATATTCAAGTAAACACGCGCAAGGTACCGAGAGTTCGAGTTTCAACTAGGCGCTAGTGCCGTCGACTAAGGCGCGTAAAAATATAAGGGAAAAGGGTCGCAGCAGGACTGTAAAAACTACCGTGGCATCAGCCTTCTTAGCATTGTGGGAAAAATGTATGCTAAGGTACTGATTGAAAGGGTCATGAAAGAAACTGATGGAAAAATTTGGGATGTGCAAGCGGGATTCAGAAAGGGAATGGGATGTACAGATCAAGTCTTTTCCATGCGCATGATCGCGGTGAAATTTTTGGCCAAAAACTAAAAGGTTTTTTTGTGCGTTCGTGGACTTGGAAAAGGCCTATGACAGAGTGGATAGGGATGTGCTATGGCAAACACTGAACTCATTTGGGTTGAGCGCTGGCTTGATACAGACATTGGAGTCTCTTTATAGGGACTCTAGTGCTTGTGTTAGGATCAACGGGGTCTACTCGGACTGGTTTGACATCCATAAAGGTGTCAGACAGGGCTGTGTGGCTTCCCCGTGGCTGTTCAACCTATTTATGGACAGTTGTTTGCAAAATTTGAAAGTTGAAGAATGCGGTTTAAGAATGGGTGAGTTAACCGTCAAATGCCTTTTGTACGCCGATGATCAAGTTATCCTTGCGTTGTCGGCGGCCGAGTTGCAAATGATGGTTACATTAATGAACAGATCATTAAAAGAAAGGGGTATGAAAGTGAACGCAAGTAAGACGAAGGTTATGGTTTTTGAAAGAGAAGAAGTAAAACGATTTGTGAAATAAGAATAGAAGGGGAGTTGATCGAGCAAGTAAATGAGTTTGTATATTTGGGCTGCGTATTTAGCAGGGATGGGAGATATGATAAGGATATAGAACGACGAGTGAATGCGGGAAATAGAGTAAATGGGGCCCTGCACTCTATTGTGAAGAGTCAAAATGTGTCAAAAAAGGCACGTATGGCAATTCACAATGCTGTGTTGGTCCCTACTTTAACGTATGGTAGTGAAAGTTGGGTGTGGCAGAAGAAGCACGAGAGTAGAATCAACGCAGTAGAAATGCGGTCCTTAAGGAGTATGTTAGGGCTGAATCTGAACGACAGGGTAAGAAATTGTGTAATCAGAGAAGAGTGTGGTTTGCAAGATGATGTTGTGACCAGGATTAAGAAAGGAATGCTTCGGTGGTTTGGTCATGTGGAAAGAATGAATGAGGAAAGAGTGACAAAGAAAATTTATGTTGCAGAAGTGAATGGCAGAGTCGGAAATGGACGTCCTAGGCGAAAATTTATCGACCAAATTGGCGATTTATTGAAAACGGGCCAAATTAGGAGTACCCTTAACCGATGAGCATGTATGCATAAGTGTATGGATGTGAAGGAGGCGAGAGAGGTCTGTCAGGATCGTGCCAAATGGAAGTCTGTAGTCTATTTTGCCTACCGCTCTGGGTGACAGGCGTGAGTGTTTATGTTATATGTATTTATGTACCTCTTTTTGTTTTAGGAATTACTGCTTTTCTTTTATTATTATCTTTACCTGTTTAGCTGATGTTATTACAATACTTTTAATAGATCGAAATCTTAATACTTCATTCTTTGATCCTGCAGGAGGTGGAGATCCTATTTTATATCAACATTCATTTTGATTTTTCGGTCATCCAGAAGTTTATATTTTAATTTTACCCGGTTTCGGAATAATCTCTCACATTATTTCACAAGAAAGTTGAAAAAAAGAAACTTTTGGATGTTTAGTTTAGGTTTAATCAAAAATATTATTATAAAATTATATCTTTAAATAAAATATATCAATAGAGATGGCTTGTTTGAACGAAAATTTAGGAAACGAGAAAATACCTATTTTGAACGCAGTAACATCATCATATCTTACGTCTATTTTCTAAGAACGTATAATATAGTAAGTATAATAAAGTATATACGCGTGAACGCTATAATTCAAATGCCTTATAAACTTTATCTGAATTCTTTTAATTTGTTGTTTATTTGTAATATAATGGGGAGAGTAAATACTACACTTTTCCTGCAGTTTATGTCCGAAAAAGGTTTGCAAGTACGTAGACCAAACCTTTGACTTTTTAAGCTTTTTGTACTATTGTATTTATATGTTTTGTCACAGCCAGCTTCTTGTCGAGGGTAACAATTAGTATTTTATTTATTTGTTTCATCTTTTTTACACACCTTATAATGAGAGATATAAAATGCAGACTTATTGTCTTATGGCATTCTCTACCAGTTAACCCCGGACGATATAAGAAACTGAGGCAGGTATAAAAGTTTTACCAAATTAAATTAGTATTAAAGATATAAGATGATAACAGTGGTAGAGCCACGCGGCAGCTTTGCTGTCGCACGTATGGGCCGGCTCAAACCGGGGTGGTACCACGACCTCACAGAATACCGGCGTGAAGTGGAAGCTCTGCTTCCGCGTTTCGTCTGGTGAGTGCAGTTGGCTGGAGGCCCAAATCCCCTCCCCCCATCAACATGGTAGCGGAATTAAATGATGACTACCCCAGGAGGGTACCAGCATACCTCTGGAGAATCCCTCGCTGAGCATCCACGACCATGTTTCTCCACTTCTGAGCGTGGGTGCTCAGGCTGCCCCGCGTATTCTGGGGGGGGGGGGGGCAAAATTCCGCTCAAGACTAAAACTGCTCGGGGCAAACGGAGCAAGAAGACCAAGGCGACCCCTGCCACGCTGTCCGTGAATTTCTGCAATATCAGGGGACTTCACTCTAACCTAAACGCCGTCCACTACCATCTCGAGACGGCGAGGCCGGCTCTGCTCTTTCTGACCGAGACGCAGGTGTCCTCTCCGGCTGATGTCTCGTATCTCTCCTGCCCGGGGTACAAACTTGAACACTCCTTTGTGCCTCGGGCTGGAGTTTGCGTTTACGTCAGAGAGGACATCTGTTCTCGACGCCTCGGCAGTCTTGAAGGTTCGGACCTGTCCATCCTTTGGCTACGCGTAGACAGCGACGACCATCCGCGCGTTTACGGGTGCCTCTATAGGTCCCATAGCGGTAATGCCGAAACAGACCGAGTCTTCGACCACGTCCAAATGGCTACAGATTCGTTGCTACAGCAGATCCCCTCCGCAGAGATCGTGATCCTCGGCGACTTTAACGCCCATCACGCCGAATGGCTCGGTTCACGTTTAATCAATCATGCGGGGAGATCTGTTCATGATTTTACCTTGGCATATGGTCTGACACAACTGGTTACTTCGCCTACGCGGATTCCAGATGTGGAGGATCTCATGCACCTTCCCTGTTGGACCTTCTGCTGACCTCTCACCCGGACGGATATCAGATTTCCGTCGTCGCCCCTTTAGGCTCCTCGGACCATTGTCTTGTCCGGAGTGTGGTGCCACTCACGCTGAAATCGCGGTTGCATTCTGCAGGCTGCCGCCGTGTTTGGCACTATAGGTCAGCCGATTGGGATGGGATGCGGTCTTTCTTTGCATCCTACCCTTGGGGGCGGGTTTGCTTCTCGCCGGACGATC